TTACTTACACTGAAACAAAGAGGAGTTTTGCTAGTTTGGCCTATTTAAGATCAAAGTGATCACTACAATGTAAAATGAGTTTTACACCCCTGTATTACAGATGTATTTCCCCTATTTTTCATATTATAGCTGAACATGGCTACTGACACTTTTCAGCATATTTTTTATGTGTATGAGAGCTCCAAAAGCAAATCTCGCAATTTGATTCAATTTTAAAGAAATCCAAACCCCTCTGTAACGGTTTTACTCCTGAAGTAAATTAAAAGTATGTTTCCTTGTATTTTAGTGGACGTTCCCTTTAAAATGTCACTCACAAAGAAGTGCAGAAACTGGATGCATTCAAGCAAGCTTTTTCACTAACATGGCACTAAAGTACACAAGCGTCCGACAGATCATTTCTTATTATTTTGACTGGAGAGCAAGAGCTGGCAAACCTCATTCACATTTTCATCTCAGAGTCCCCCGTGATTATTTTTAGCAGTTGAAAGTGGCTGTTTTCAAAATAAGTTCCTGACAGTATATCAAAAGATTCCAGTGCCACAGTGGTGGGCTGACTCTGTGCCTGCTTTCATTTCACTCTGAGCATGTTTCATGTGTGTGTGTGTCTGTGTGTATGTTTGTGCGCGTGTGTGCGTAAGAGCCTGGGCAACTACAGGGCATGGAGACGGAGGGACAAATGGATTCCATGTTTGCAGGAAAAAAACACGCTGGAGGCGCAGGAAAAAACTTTTGTTGTTTATGAAGAACACGTGAAACCAATCAAATCTGAATTATCTTCCTGTTGTTCCAGCTCTTGTCGTTTGCAGTTTTTAGTTCGCTCGCCAGCAGTGTCACCACCCGGCGAGCAGATCTGTGTCTGTGCATGAAGTTTACAGACACACATGCAGTGAACTCACATGCACCCACAGAGACAGAAGGACTGCACAGGTCTGACTGTTTCATCAGTTTCAGCTACATTTTCGTGGTGATGGAGATGAAAAATGCAAAGCTACAGCTAATTGTATCTCTTACTCGTATTCATTCACACACACACACACACACACACACACACACACACACACACACACACACACACACACACACACACACACACACACACACACACACACACAGTCTGCCCACAGGAAATCATCTGCAGATCTCCTCAGCATAATAACCCATTTTTACTTACTCATCCTTGTGTGGAGCTGGGCTCAGAAACACACAGTCCACTTTTAAGCTGCACCATATGAACACACAAACGAGCTGTACAGGTATCTCCAGTTATACTGGAGGTATGAAAAAAACCAGCTAAATTGCTAACACCGCACCGAGAACACACATACACACATACTTCTTTAGATCCACTTTGATATTCAAGCTATTTTTTATTGACTGTAAGCCACATACTGCCATCCTCCCCCCTGTGTGTTTAACCTTCTACCCCTGTTCTCTCTTTTGCTCTCTCATGAATCCCATCTCCCTCTTTGACTTACCTCAGGGAGCAGGTGTTCAGCTCATTGGGGGAGAGCACGGCGAGGTCATTTGCTGCCTTATTGAAAATTGCCGTATATGTTATGAGGCCAACCGCACTGGATGTGACTCTGTTCTGAGTGCAATCACATGTGCCGTCTTCGAGAGCAGGAGGACATCACATCATGTGGTGAAGGAAAAGAGTCCCGAGATTACACTTATGGACACTGTTTAATTTTGCATTTGATCAAATTTTGGCTTTAGCAGTCCTTATAAGATTTTTATATTTTATATTGCTTCCACAAGTCAGAGGTTTTAAAATGACACGATTGCATTAGTAATTGTGATGCCAGATGTGGGATATTTTATAGTGGCTATCATAGATAAATGGAGGCAGACAAGTCCTGTGTGTTAAAATGTGGTTGTATCACAAAATGAACTCCCAGGGATTTGTGTGAGAAGGAAAGGTCCATTGCAGAAGCCAGAGAAACTTCTTTTCTTTTTCCTTTATTTTCAAATCCCCATATCCCTTTACAAGATAATAACGACTTTAGTTAAATCTTGAGTTAGTTGACATCATGAAGTCCTTTTAAAAAATATATTTGGAAGATCTTTATCATGTGTTTACTCATTTACAGTGGAATGTTAACAGTTTATTATCCTATATTTTTGGGGATAATATGTAGAATGTAAATGTTTTAGTGTTAAAAAATGACTTCCATTTTTTTTGACTTCCAAACTTTGTAATTCTTTTTTTAATGTTATTTTTGTTTTCTTTCCCTTCATGCTATTAATACTCTTTGTTTTTGTTTGCTTGGATACAGATAGGGATTGATTGATTACAATGCTATGCTTCATTGCTATAGAAATGTAAATATTTAGACAGTTGTCTCGGGGTAGATGTTTCAGTGATTTAAATACTGACCAGTAAATAAAATATAACAGAACTTGTCGTTCGTAAGGTTAAAAATAAAAGTAATATTTTCTCCCAGTGGCTCCAACACTTCACATTATTATTCTCAAATACAAAAATGGAGAAACCAGATTGAATCTGCACTTTGTATTCACTGATTCACTTTTACTTTAAAAGTAGACAAGAGCTACAATAATCCAGCTACACCTTTTCTCTGAATATATAGTGATAGAACTGGGAGTTGTAATGTAGAAAATAAGCTAGTATTTACTAGGTCTAGCTCAGGCTCCTTCCCCACCAGAGAGGTGACGTTCCATGTCCCAATCACTAGTTTCAGTAACCAGTGCATCCAGGGGTCCGCCAGGGTCTCCACCTCTGCAGTCACCCAGTAAATGTTGGGCCTACAGGAGGATGCCCATGTCCCTTTTTTGGGCTGTGCCCTGCCGGGACCCAAGGACTAAGACACGGCCACCAGGTGCTCGTCCTCGGGCTCCCTCTCCTGGCCTGGCTCCAGGGTGGGGCACCGGTAACCCTTTCCCAGGCAGGGTGAACTTTTCATTCATAGGGGTGTTTGAATCACTCTTTGTCTGTCTCACCAGGACCAGTTTGCTATGGGAGACCCTAACAGCAACATAGGTGCTGAGACCCATAAGCCCCTCCACCATGATAAGGTCGCAGTTGGTATACAAATATATATAAAAAAAAAAAAAACATTACATAAAGGATTACATAATTCCCCCTTACAGAATAACTGGACTTCTGTATTAAATGCAATTTTTTTAAAATTAACTTCTGTTGAAACAAGAGTGCTGACAGCATGTAAATGCTAAGCTAGCCAAAAACCTAGAGTGATGCTAAAGCTGAGTAAATGCCAATTACACTGTCAAGTGAGCATTTGTGAGCTGTGGTGAAGCTCGCCGCTGCTGAACTTCATCAGGTAACAAAAAAATAAGCAGTCAGGCTGTATCCTTCGTTTCTACCTGTTGAGGTTTGTGTTTGTGATCGCCCTGAAGTGTCTGACTGCTGGTTTTCTCCTTGGGCTAATTAATTACCGTACTTAAAGGTTTTCTGTGTGATATGTGTAATAGATTACTTTGAGAAATGACCCAACACTGATCACAACAGAGAGAGGAAATACATCCAACATGCACAAACATTTGAGCACACAGTGCGCAAGTAATTTGCACCAATGTAATGCTTTGATATGCTACTTAGTGATGGTGATAACTCTCAAAGCAGAGCTAGTGAGAACCCAATGAGAATGAATAAAAGAACTAATAAGGAATCAAATCGACAAGTAATATCGATAATGGAATTTAATCGCTAAATTCTTATCAATTCCCGTTCCTAGTGGTGATCCTCAACATCGTTCTTAAATGAAAATGTTTTGGCCCTTTTCCCTCATGAATTGCAGCACTTTTAGACACTCAACAGAATGCACAGGTTCTTTTTTTTGTAACGTAATACTTTAGGGAAGCTGGAAGACGGGCTCAAACTTTCTATATGAAGTGAAAATGAAAGCACAGAGAGTCACTTATTTGGCCAAGCAATCTGAGCCATAAAGATCACATTCCCAGGTCCTGGGTTTCTGTCCCTCCCCTGTCAGTAAATACAACAGTAAGTATAACATTTCACACTAACAGAAATTAGGACCAAGGAGAAAAGTAAACATAGGAGAATTTGGGAGCTGGGTATTTTGGAAAAGAAATCCTGTGTTTGTATTAATATTTCACCTCTGGGAAAACTTCTGTCACTGACAATTTAAAGGGCATACAGCCAACATTATGTCAATTTGCCGTAACGCTGGTATTTATGACTTTATTGAATTAGGGCAGAAAGTCTGCGGTGGGTCGAGATGTTTGGGGCAGGAGGGGAGAAGAGGGGGAGGAGAAAAATAACAGAAAGAAAGCAAGTGACCAGTTATGAGTGAAGATGGAAATTCATGACTTATTTTTGTTTCAAATGTGTTTCCATCCACATATGGTCCTTGTTTTGGCCTATATACCCAGAATATCAGAGGTGACCCATGACCCGGCTTCTCAGACTGACATGATTTTGCCTGTCTCGCTCTGAGGTCTCTGTGACCCCCGTGTCCCTGAAGTTCAGGGGTCACCTCCAGGGAGCAGCAAATTAACCCAATGTGTCAGACCTGGTATGACACCATGTTCACCCGAGCCCTGTTGTTTTAATATTCTATTCTGTAACACTTGTATTTGATGTTAACTCGTCCTACTCTGGGACCATTTCCCCTCTTTTAATCTTGCTCATCCCACCCCACCACACAGCAATCAGTTTCTTCTAATTCTTTTCTCTCTTTCTTTTTGCCCTTCTCTGACATCTTCCTTTCTGCTGAAAAGGATCTCTCTGTCTGATCTCCCTCTCCCACCATTACTTTCTCAAACCAAATCCTTCTCTCCCTCTCTGTCTCTCTCTCTGTCTCTCTCTCTGTCTCCCTGCGGTTAAAGACGTTTCAGTTCAGCTGTCACAAATTATGTTCGCCTGCCCAGCTGTCAAAACAGGGGGGTGTCCCTTTCATTCCACCTCACATACTACGAAAGGAGATGGGAGGGAGGAGGGCTTTAATGCTTGTGTTTGGACACAAGCAATTATCTCTAATTATTGTTTTTCTTTTCAGTTTCCCTGTCCCAATGGAGGTCCGACGAGACGAACACGCAATAATCCACTCCAGTCGTCCGGGATCAGTGGGCCTTCGGAGTCCGGGCTCGGTCCTGGGACTCTGTGGCTTTCATCTCAATGTGAGTCAGGAATTGATTCAAACATGGAGTGAAGGGAGAATTAACCCCTGGGACCCAGCTTTCAATGGGCTCAGCTAAGAGATTATATGTGTTGATGGCAGGCTTTTATATGCACTGGCCTTTCAAAACTTCAGCTGTTAAATCAAGGCACCACAGTCAGGATCTTCACCTTTACATCTTCAGTGTATCCATGCCCGCCCCCCTTTCCAACCTGGCACCTTGTACTTCATCTACAAACTGTGTGTGTGTGTGTGTGTGTGTGTGTGTGTGTGTGTGTAAGAGAGAGAAAGAGGGGATAACGCCTCCAATGACAGCACCTGCAACTTTCGCAAACTATACTGTACATGTTCTCAGCCAAAGGGCTCTCGTCAGACTGCCACTGGGAGTTTATATTCAATGTGCAGCTTCAGATTCCCATGACCATGGAGCCTTTGGGAGTCGAGCTCTTTTTCAGTGTATGTGAAGTTATGCAGAGTACCGCTTAAAAGTAAATGCACACAAACATGACGAGAGGCTCAGAAACACGCATCATCATCCCTGAGATTGTAATTCCTTTGCGTTTGGAGCTGACATCTTTGGTGGTCCACGCAAGCTTCTAAAGGACGGCGAAGGGGGGGGGTTGAAAAACAAGGAAAATCCTGTCCTTCTTCACAGACTCTTGCAACATGTTGCATGCATCCTTTCATTTCAACATGCATGCCAAACCCCAAAGGATGTTTTTGGCAAAACAGAAAACCGCAGGTCTCGAATATGACTGACATATAGGAACGTCAAGCTGAGGAAGAAAACAAATGGTGAGAAAACAAATGAGTTAAAGCAACAGATCGCTGTAAATAACACAAGGTCAAAAATAGCAAGTCTGGACTTATTACCTTTATTTTGCGCATGACCTTTGTCACGTGGTATTGCTCACAATCCGCCAAACACTCCCTGCTGAGACTGTTTGTATGCATACAAAGTGACAAATTAAAGGAAAAACAACTGGTGGAAGTCTTGGAAGTCTGCTGGTGGAATGGAATGATAAATGTGAAAAGATGTTCCCTATCTGGTGCTAACTTGTTCGTCCAAATATCTCCCTTTGGTACTCAGACTTGTTGAAATCTGGTGATTTCAAAGGCCAAAACACAGGAGTTACATCATTTTCAGCCTCATCAAACCCGTTAATAACCCTTTGGGAATTTTCATCCAGGAGAAGCAATCACTCCCATCAGGACCAAAGTTATTCATCACAGGAAAAAGATGATTGTTCAGGACTTTGTATTGATCTGAAGTTACTATTCCCTCTTAAGGGAACAAGTGGATGTAACTCATGGCAGTAAATTGCCCTGAAGTGGGTAACAGAGACATCACACTGTACACAATCACACCAGCATCTAAGAGTTTCAGTTGTGTGCCATTTCAGAGCAATGACATGCAGTGTCAAAGTAAAGCCATTCCCATTTCTTTTACACTGAGATAAACATTGCACTTCATTATAGATAATGTTGACCAGAAGACATAAAGCTAGACACTCTAAAGAGCAATTGTTTGAGTTGTTTGTGGCTTTTGATACTGCATTAGGTAGCTACTGCAGTTCACCAACGACACTTATGAGTTGGCCCTGCATCACAAAGCCACTGGCACAGATTTCTATATGAAAAAATTGTAAAAGCTAAATTAAATATGAAATTCTGGCTTAATTCTACACTGGTTGCAATCCATGTTTCTGTACACATAGATTAGGGCTCCACAGTGTGGCGTTAACAGTGATTATGTTATGATATGGTTAATAACAATAATAATGTTTTCTCATATCATTGGATTTCTATATGCCAGTATAAAAACCATATCATTTTCTGCCATGGTTACTGGTGCAGTGTCAAGTACTAGAGTTTTGGTTCTTGCTTTGATTGATAAGAATTGATATCATTTATCATGTTTCTAAGTGTTCACATTGCCTCCGTGTCTCCTCTGTTTTGTTTCTGCATTAGCTTCCATGTCTTCTCTCGTCCTTTCTTATCTATCCCTCACTTGAGGTCTCTCTCCTATTTAACGATAACATTTCATCATTAATTTGTTCCACTTTTATGCACACAATTAATATCTTTACATGTAGTATTTGCTAGTATTGCTAGTATTTGAAACACGACTTGCTTGAAATTTCTGAATTGACAGAAGTATGGGTTTCTATCTCAGATTACTCTATAAAGACAGAAGGTTATGCTGTATCTAAAAACTATGATGACAAACCCAAACCTCTGGATTTGGCCACAGTATTATGTAAATGTCCAAATGTAATGTATATTAACAGACCACCAACGTAAGTATATACTGTGTATTTGCACATGTAGGAGTGAACGCTGCTTTTAGTGTGGAATAATTTTGCCTGTGAAAGTCATCTGTATTACTGGAAACCACTAAAGTGAGCTCGACCTCATCAAGATATGAGCTTTCCATGTGTTTGATAGACTGAGACCCAAATCCATCCGTTGGGTTTTTCCTTGCTGAGCAAAATTGACATTCATGGAACGAATGGCTGATAGACACTTATGAGGCAACAAATTTTTTGATGAAATTCTCTCCTTTTTTATGTAGATCCTGATAAATCATGCTTTTTTTTAGTGGCTACTTTGGGGAAGTAGGAAAAAAGTGACAAAAGAAAATGCAGTCTGTGATCGCCTTATTAAGGTTATATGCTAAACATGCTCACAAACACAGCCTATTGACACATTCCACACACAGAGCAATATTAACTTTGACTTTAAGTCATATTTGTCGCAACCCCATTAGCTTAAGCAATAACTCTGCATTTCGAGGCCAAAAGCAAGACAAGTGTTACAGACATTTATGTTAAAATTCCAAATTTTATACCAGGAAGTAAAGTGCTATTAATTTTTTTTTCTTTCTAAAGCTTAGCATTTGCATTATTAGGAATATATCCTCACAGTAGGACACCTATGCAGGCTGCCCTATTTGGTAGCTTTAAGCTAAGCTTCACCCTTTTTCTGCTGTCATTTATTCTACTCATTCAAGACATTTGCACTCTATTTTTGAGAGTGAAATTTAAATATTTTATTTGTATGTTAGGTAACACTACTTAGCAGGTATCCATATCTAGGAGATGCACCTATAATATGAATCTACTTTGCAAGCGAGGCCTGTTAGCATTAGCCGATAAGTTAGCACTCCACCTTCTTATAACAGTTCTAAGATTACCCTTGGCTTTGAAAAAACAAAGAAAGAAACCACCAGTATGTTCAGTTTCAAGGCTTCTTAATGCGATATGACGTTCCAATTGGTTATGCCACAGAGACAATGTTCATCTTTTATATACAGTCTATAGAGAACATTTGACTTTATCAAATTTTAGTGTAGCTACTGCTCTTTGATGTTGCTAAGATAGAGGCAGTGGGTTTGTCTTTTTTCTTTTGCTGAGAAAAAAAAGATGTAAAACTGTGTAGAGCTGAAGGAATCTGCACTGCTTGAAAGGGGAACAACTGAGGATTCTTTTTTTCATGTTTGCCAATCAAGATGCCTCACACATATGGCCATTCCTTAAGGTCATAATTGACCCATGTGATTCTGAGGTTGGTGCTGTTATGTCCCCCCCACCCCACCCTCCACCCACGTCATCACATTGTTCCAAAGGTGGCACCTCTTGGCCAGTGTCACATCCACCCCCCTTGCCTCTCCCTCCTCTAATTCTTCTCTCCTATGGTCTGATCCACTCTTTTTTTGTGTCCCCTGTCTATAGCACAGACATTACATGGCAAATCTCTATTGTCCGGCCTCGGGCTCTGTGTAATCTCTCTTGTCAAAGGGAATATTCAGCGATTAGTCCCCTGCGAATTACAAGGGGCGATCAGCATGTCTGTTTAGCCCTCATTAACTGCAAACAGGGCTTCATCAGAACCACCCACATTACAAGGACCTTCAACCTCTCACCCCTGACACCTGGAACTTTCACATCTTAGCTCCCAGACCGTAGATTTCTTTCTGACACTCTTCTTTTTTTGTGTCTTCTTGAGGCATCAGTGTGAGACGGTGCAATTGGCAGTTTGAAAGGAGATAAAAGTTCCTTCTGCCAAAGACCTGCATCCTTCCAGAAACTGGCATCTAAGTGGCATCATGAAGAAATGAGCAGGTTGTGCCTGTAGTTGCAACACTAGCAGCCGTTTCCCCCCCTTTTAGAACTGCTTTGACAGTGTTATGAGAACACTAGGTAAAGTGTCATTCAGCAACTTGACATAAGGGCTCCGTGTCGTGTTATCTCAGGACCACCCATCCTTGACATATGTTGGACAAACAGAAGAGTTTTATAGGAGTAATATCTAGCAGATGGGGGTCAGCCACTGAGGAGGGCACATCAGAATGGGGTCACCTATGATGCTGGTCAACTGGTCATTTCTCCCATCCCATTAACCACCTGCGATTGGTATGTTTTGTCAGCTTTTCCCAAGTTTTAGGTTTCAATTGCTGTGCTTTGAAATCAAACACGCCCACCCCACACACACCCAGAAACAAAGCTTTCTCTGACAAACACATATAAACATTGTGCATGTGTGTGTACAATGAAGCCCACGCTCATACATACGCACACACACTTATACACACAGACTGCAAAAAATATTTTTCATGCATTAAACACATCATTAATGCAAAATTTGCAACCTAGTAGTAAACTAGTATAAAACCTACTGATAAGACAGTCATTGATAAGTACTTTGTAGTCATGATAGTAGAATGAGTGCAAGTAGTACAGATTATACACAACATATATAAACAGGAGATAAAGGATATAAAAAGGTCCAAAGGAGGACTCTAACTTTAATTAATATTTCACCTTCCAGTAAAACCTTTCTAAGAGATGACGTAGCATGCAGTTTGGATCCCTTGACTTTTAATTTGTAGCACCATAAGTTAAGCAACAGTTGATAGCATCAGCAATTAGATTACCATAAAATATTGATACAGACATTAATTTCTTCCTCAAAGAGCACAGGCAGGACGTTTGTACTTTT